CGTGGCTTTATCTGGCTGGAAAGCCCTCCTTAAGATAGGAGGCTGCTGTCTCTGCTGGAAGGAGCTGCAGGTGCCCTGGAGCCCCTGGATCAGCCCCAGGCTGTCACTTGGCTGGACTGGGACTAACCCCTCCATCTCCCACAGCCTTGGCAGGGGAAGGACTCTCTGTTGTCTAATACAGCACAAGCAAAACTTGCATCCAGGGAACTGCCTCTCCTTGGTGCCATTCCCCCAAGCCAGAGCACAGGGAAGTCATACGAACCCCATTTCCATGGAGAACCAGAACGGGCAATCCCTGCACCATTTCTCACCTCTCTTCCAGCTGTTGTGCTGGTCTCTGCAGTGGTGGGTACTGGGGTTTGCCAGGACCCTTCCCAAACAGAAAAGGTGCTGTTAGGATTCAAGACCAAGAAGAAGAGGCAAAAAAGCCATGTCTCTGGTGGAAGTGTCAGCATTCAATTGCCCAGGGAAGCCCACAGAAGGGACAGTGAGAAAACCATGCCCAGCTCCTGCTATGTGATGAACGTGGGATGCTGCCACCTCCTTTATCCCTCATCTGTGAACAAAGGTGCCTCCAGAGGTAGCTGGACCAGCTACCTCATACCCAGCTCCATTGCCTCCCCGCTAGAGTTCCTGCTTTTCACCAACCCTCAAGCAGATCCATGGCTTGAAGGCACAGCCATGCAGCCCAGTGGGCAGCACACACACTTGCTGCAGTGCCAGCCACCAGCTCCTGTCCCCCACAGCCTTGCAGCACCTCACCTTACACAGCCACACTGTCCCCAGGAGGCTCAGCTGCCCTCTCTGCCTGCTTTTAAAGGCAGCCCCAGGGGTGGCAAAGGTGGAGGCAGGGCAGGGCTGCCCAGGTGGAGCTGAGTCAGGAAGGGATGTGGGTGAGAAAGTCTTGGGGGAGAGGGACTAAAATCAAGGCTTTAATCTGCCCTTGCAAGCACACTGTGATGCCAGGGCAGAGCTCTGCCAAATCTGCCCTGGGTCCTGGGCAGCTGTAGGGGGTGTAGCAGGCAAGGTGCAGGCAGCCGGCAGCATTTCACACCTTAACCCTGTCCCTGTAATAATCCCCATTTCCTCTTGCTCTGGCTGACATCTCCATGCCCTGCCTGGGGTCCCTATGGTCCCAGTTCAGAGGGCGAATGACAAAACGAACCCAGCTCTGCATGCCCCTGCCGCCAGCTCGGCCAGCCTCCCCCCACAGCTAGCACCCCGCCACTTGCTGTGACTGATACAGGGAACCTGGTGCTTTTATTAAACTCTTTGCTTCCTGTTTTAAGCTTAATAATAAATTGCATGTCACATTATGGCTGTGTTTATTAAAACCCATTGGCGTGGGCTCTGCTCTGCAACGGCATTTGAATTATTGAAAGCAACCCCCCATGGAGACCTATTTGCTGCAAACGCAGGAGGATTTATTTCCATTTTGTTTATCAGATGGCATAAGTGCTGGATGGAGGCAGGGAAGTGGTCTTGCTCTTTTTATTTTCTCCCTGAGCTAGCACAGCAGGGCAAAGAGGTGCTGTGCAGTGAACACAAGGGAAAAAGCTGCCCCCCCCCGGGATGGGGACAGAAGTCCTGGGTGTAGCTGATTGCTCTGTCCTGATTGTCTCCCTGGCTCTGGTTGAGTTCCCCAGACCCGGTTGTTCTGTGCCTCAGTTTACCCATTAGCCAAGCAAGGTTACAGCACTCCAAGTTTCCATCCAGGCATGACCAGCATTCAGCTCAGGCTGGCCGAGACCCCTGCCAGAAGCCATCGATCTCCCATGGGAGATACCCATGGCGCAGGGGGACTGGCAGGGTGGCCGAGAGAGATTTTGGCCTTTTTGCATCTCCGGTTTAAAGCACACACCCTTGGACAGTGGCTGAACATCTCCAAATTCTACTCCATCCCACCTGTGCCTGCCACAGCCACCGAAAGCCCATGTTGGGAGGACGCTCTGGCTCCTGTGATCATTCCTGAGGGCCAACCCATGTCCCTTGGGATGGGATCACCCCTCCCAGTAAGGCAGAGCTGCTGCCAGGGGCAGGGGAAGGGCATGAAGCAGGCAGGGCTGGATTTGGGGGTTCAGGATGCTCCAGGGGTGCCCAAGGCCCCATGCCCCTTCGCTGGCTGCCCAGCACCGTGGCAGGGCTCGGCATGACCGGTGGCTTTGCCAGGAGATGGCACTGTTTAGCGACTAATCAAGCCGGTGGCCCAAATCTGGACTCTGGGATAGAGACGCAGATGTGCCTCCTACCTCTGCCCAGGCTGGGGACAGGTCCCGGCCCCCCCCGAGGGCGGGGATGGACAAGGAGAGCGTGTTTTTGCTGCTGGATTGTATTTACCTGCCAAACCTGGTGGGATTTCCCTGCAGACCGCAAAACCCTGTGGCTTGATGGCTGCTCAGGCTGCCTGATGCTCTGGGCAGCACTGGGGGGGTGCAAGGATGAGGGAGGCACCGGGGGTGTCAGGTCAGCTGTTTGGGGAGCAGGGCACCCTGGTATCACCTCTGGGTCAGCCACTGACCATCTCGGTCACCTTCTGTCCCATGGTGGTACCTGGAGGGGTCTGGGGACCTGAGTGGTACCCCCCCCACACTGAAGGCTGGAGCAGTGGGAAGAGCCAAGGTCCCACCGGCAGCTTGCAGCAGGGGCTGGGTGTGACATGAACCACAGGTCTGGGGCAGAAAGAAGCTACTTTGGAGGCTGTGGGTGCTGTTTTACCTGAATTTCCTCCCCTAGCACCCAGAGCTGTGAGTACACAACGGAGGTGGCAGAAATGCTTGATGGTGCCAGCCCTGTGTGTGTCTCCGCAGGGACTGGGGTCCGGTGGGTTTTTAATCACACGTTTTTGGCTCTGTTAGCTTGTTTCTTCAGGGTCTTTCAGCTGCCGGCAGGACAAGCCCCCCCTTTCTTTGTCCCCAGCCTCGCGTTGCCCAGGGGGGTCCTGGCACCCCGCTCACCCCATGCGGTTGGGAGGTGCTGGGGCCGGTACGTGCCTGGGGCTGGCAGCCACGTTAGCACTTCCCAGTCCAGCTGACCCGTCCCTGACGTCAGCCCAACATCTGGGCCGAGCTGCCGCTCCAAGCGCAGGCAGCTGGGCTGGCAGGACACGCTCGGCCCCCTCCGCCCCCACCGCCCCTGGAAAGCAACCACCCCCAAAACTGGCCGGCAAAGGGACTTGGTGCTGCATGTCATAGGGACACACTCTTTGTCCCCACACTGACACCATGTTTGGCTGGGTCCCCGTGAGTCACCAGGTGCCTGGAGCGGAGGAGAGCATCTGCAGAGCCTGGGGGGACCCCCTCCTCAGGGCAGGGGCTGTGGGAAGCATCCGAGCAGCCAGCAGCAGAGCTGACCAAACATTTTTAGAGCCAACAAATAACCTCAATTAAGCTCTGTGGCAGTGACCGATTCCAGCCACGCAGCGATATTGTCTCTTTTAATTTTTAAGTGGCTGGAAATGGTAAGACCAGGAGCCAAGGCGGGGGGACACCAGCCCGCTCTGTGCCCCTGGGGCCACTCTGCTGCCCCTCATCTTGCAGGGAGCAAAGACCCAATACTGGCTGAACTGCTAGCCTACTGCTCAGACAGCTCTTTCCCATACTGGGATCTGAGGAGACTGGGAGACACAGCTCCCAATTTGCATTAATTTTGGCCAAGGACCCTTGCTCAAGATCCCCTCTTTCTCAGCCATCACATTCCTGCTGTGTTTCCTGAAGGGCAGGAGTAGGAGCTGACAGCATCCCCTGCCAGGTACCACAGGGACCAGGTCTAGAGCTGAAGGGGGCAAGGACTGAGACCAAAATGTGAATGCCCACCAGTGCCCAGGCAAGGCATCACCCCACAGAGCACACAGAGAGCCAGGGATGGGGGTCTGTTCCATCCAAACCCCTGCCCCAGCCAGCCCAGTGCTGCACACACACCCAGCATGACTTGGATTCGTGCCGATGGGGGCAGGGGGAGCCTGGCCCGAGGGAGAGTTGGCATGGCAGCCCTGGCTGGGGGCCAGTCCCGGGCACCGGCGGGGAGCCCAATGAGCAGCTCTCGCCTGATGAAGCTCTGGGACACTCTCAGGTTTCCCTGCAGCAGCCTCAGCCTGAGCATGGCCCAGTTCCACCAGCCGATTTGTGTGCAAAACGGGGAGGGCATCAGGATGGGTGAAAACACCCCAGCTTCTCTGAAAGCAGGTTTTGCACCCCAAAAAAAAACAAAAAAACAACCAAAAAAAAACAAAAAACAAAAAAACAAAAAACAACAAAATAAAAGACAACAGCATGTTTCTGTCACTGATCTCTCCTGAACACCCTCTGACTCTGATATAGCAGCCCCAGGAGGATGCTATTATGCTATTTGATTGAAGGAGAAACCAAGGCATGGGTGGCTTTTGCATTTCCCCAGCCGAGAAGGGGTTTGGTGCCGGAGCCCAGCAGGCAGGCAGGGCAGCAGCACTGCCGGCTGGGCCCCGTCAGACTGTGTCACAGGGACAGAGAGAGACTGGCCCGGCCTCACCGGCTGCAGGAATTTTGCTCCGCTGCCAACTCCAGACAAATCCCTTTTATTTGCTTGTTCAGGTTTCGATGCCATAATTGCATCGTCCGAGCCAGCTCTTGAGAGAAAGAGGAAGAAAAGAAAAGAAAAAACAAGGGAAGGAGAGCAGCACGGCGCCCAAGCCGCCAGCCTCATCGCATCCTGCCTGCTCCTGCCTGGGGACTGGCCAACTCCTTCCTCCTGGGGTCTGGCTCCCTGCCACAGCTCTGGACCTCCCTGGAGCTGGGACCGAGTAACCAGGAGCAGTTTGGTCCATGGAGAGGTTTTGAGTCTCAGAAGTCCTGTAAATGCTGCTGGTCTGGGGAGGGCAAAGCACCCCTTGAGTGTGAGGTCAGCCTGTGGATGCCTGTGGGGAGGGGTCCTGCCAGCCCTCTCTGGGCACAGAGCAGCTCTGGGCTTGCTTCCCACACTCCCCCAAAATGAGAGTTTGCTTTAAATCACCAACTCTGGGAGGCAGGTGGTTTTTGTTTGTTTGTTTATTTTCTTAAAATATGGAGCATTTCCAGTAGAAACAGGAGCCTCCCTGTCTCTCCCCAGCCAAGTACAGAGCTGCTCTGCCCACTCCACGCTGTCAGGGCTGTGGTCACCTGGGTGGAGACCCCGGTGTCACAGGACACAGGACTACAAGATGAAGGTGGGCAGAGGTAGGATGGGATCCAAACTGATGGGGGTGCAATGGGCCAGTTTAATGCATCCCCACTGCACAGGGGATGGTCTGCTGGGGACCCCCATCCCCATGTGGGGTGAGAAGGGCAGGACCCACACCAGGACCTGGGATGGGCAGGAGGGCTCCTCAACCTAAGCACCTCCACAATGAACAAGGTAGCATCCATGGTCTTTGCACCTTCCCTCACCCCCAGAACAATCCTTGTGCTTGCAGGACAGTCAACTGGTCTATGTCAGCTTCGACCTATGTGTATATTTTAACTAAAATTAACTGAAAGGGCAAAGTAAAGAGCTGTGTGGAAGGGAAAGCACAAAGTCAGTTGAAAAAGGCCAAAGTGTTTCTGACCACATGGGGGTTGGACTGGAGAAAAGACAGCACTGAAAACCACAAGTGTCTGGTTTCCTCAAATCATTACTTTTCTAGTTAAAAACAAAACAGAAGAGAAGGATGTTTTGGCAGCAGGTTCCCTGAGTCCTGGGGAGAAGCCTGGCTGTCCCTGTGCTTGGGGGACACAGATTGGCCCTGGGGGTGACACACTGGGTGTCACAGCCAGGTCCCAGTCCTCCACTCTGGCTTCCCTGAAATGCCTTGCACAGGGCAGAGGTGACCCTGCCCTGACATCCCTCTCCCAGGCGAGGCTGCCTCCACCCCCAGCACCAAGTCCAGTGTGACTGTCCCCCCCCAGTCTCCCATCTGCCACCCCATCCTCGCTCAGTGCTGGAGGACAGACCCCCCCTGCCCCAGGCAGAGCCACCCCCAGTCCCAGCCCTGCAACACCAACCAGCCAGTGTCCCCTCCCTGAGCACCCCCAGCAAAGGGATGTGTCACCCTGTTCCCCACCCCAAAAAAGAGGCTGCTGTACCAGGACTGTTCAGAGAAGTAGTTTTGGGCTGAGGGGTGCCTGTTCCTGAGATGTCCCTGACCCCCGCGGACAGTCACTGTGAGCAGGTGATCTCTGCAGCTGGACATCCCATCTCCAGGCTAGTAATAGTCCTCCTCGCTCTCCCCGTAGTCCTCAGGTGTTGCGCGGGGCTTCGGCAGGGAAAAGCCCGTCAGGTTGAGCTGGTCTGAAACAGCAGCATGGGGACAATGTGACATTGCCCACCCCAGTGCCGGTCCCCTTCCCCACCAGGACCAAAGCCAAACCATGCACAGCAGCTTGCTGGGGCATCGCCAGCACATCCCTATGCATCAGCAGCTCCCACCATACCAGCGCACCCTGCCCAAACATCCCCTCTCTCATTCCTGTGAGACCATGGGGACAAGGACACGGTGCTCACCTGGCGTGAAGACAGTCAGGCTTGCTAACGCCACCACCTCCCCGACCTTGTTCCTGGCGAAGCAGCGGTAGGTGCCTTCATCCGTCACCCGCACGCCCTGGATCTGGAGCCAGCCCGTCACTTCATATTTCTGGGGGCCACCTCTGAACTGTGAAGATAGGAGGTGGGGGGGTGTGTGTGCAGATTTCAGTTAGCACTGGGGCCAGAAAATCCCTGCATGGGTCTGAGATGGGTGGGAAGGGGGACACAAGCCCAGGGAAACTCTTTAACCCCCACTAAGTACCCCTCTGGGGACAAGTGCAGACCTCCTGGATGCAGGTCTCCCCTTTTCCCACTACCCAGGGGAGGTGGGGGGAATGGGGATCTTCTTGCCCCCAGGAGAGCTCTGTTTTGGGTAGGACCCCACAGACATGTCCTGGACTCCCAGCTGTGCCCCCAGTGTCACCATGATCCCCAAACAGTGGGAGGATGTTGGGGTCGGTGCTCTGCAGGGTCACAGAAGCAAGGGGCCATCTGTGCCACGGGCACAGCTAGACTGGGATGGCTCAGAGGAGTCTCGAGTCCCCTGCTTCAGCAGGCAGTGAGGTCCCAGGATCGCTCTGGCGCCAACCATGCTATTTTTTGTTTGTCTCCAGCAAGAAATAACTTTTTCCTGACCCATCTGGGCTGCAGCTGTGTTTGCAGGCTGCTATTATGGTGCAGTGGCCAGGGGTGGAGGACAGCTGAGTCTCCTCCAGCCAGGCAGAGTAGCCCTGCTGGGAGCAAAGCTCCTCAGCTGGACCCTGTGACAAGCTATGGGGTGGCACAAAAGTCAGAAAGATGGAGGGGGAACCAGCATGTCACTCTGCAACAGTGTGAGTCCCAACTGCTCCCTGGCTTCCCCCCATCCACCCCACCACAGTTTCTTCCTCACCAGTGGCTGGCTGTGGTGCACGGCCCCTGTGCCTCTGCCCACACCCTCTAATATGTGGGTATGCCCAGCTGGGCATGATATTTGGGGCCGGTGGCACACAGGATGCTGATTCCTGGGCCTGCCTGCTCTGGGAGGCAAGCCCTGCTCGGAGTGCCAGGCAGAAAAAGGCAGGGACTGCCTGAGTCTGATGGTGTGAGCAGAGGATAAGCCAGGCTGGAAGGGATCTCGGGAGGTTTTCTCCTTCAACCCTTCTGGCGGGACTGTGAGTAAAGCCAGCAGGCAAAGAAAACTAAAGGCAAGGAGGTGGGTAACTCCCTGCTGCAGGACTCTGCAGGTCCTAAAAAATATTCATAAGTTCAAATACTACTAGAGAAAATTGCAGAAGAGAGTTGTGCTGATGGCTTCTACCACCGAGACAGCATCCCTGGCTCAGCCAGTCCTTATGGTGTGCAGGTTCCAGTCACCCCTCCTCATTCTCAGACAGCCAGGCTTGGCCACCCCCAGAGGATGACCACCCTCGAGTCAGGTTGCCCACAAGCTCTGGGAAGGGCTGGGTCACCCTGGGGCCGTATGTCCTAGGCATACCACTCACCTGGACAGAGATGTGGGGGTCATCTCCAGGCAGCAGCATCTCTGTGCCATCCTTCCTCCACTCGATGGATGCCATGGGGTAGGCAAAGACCTCACAGCCGAAGATGACATCCTGCCCGGTGACGTTCCATGTGTCATAGGGAGGAGAGGTGATCTGGGGCTCTGGGGAAGGGGAACAGGAGAGTGAGGTGGGCTCAGAAGAGGTCCCATGGGCTCTTCTGGGCTGGTCCCCTCTGGGGTGGCATTTGGCTCGCATAGAGATTCTGGCACCCTTCCCATGCCCCTCTCCTCTCCCACCCATGGCAGACCCTCACCTTGTCCCAGGACACTGTCCCTCTTCGCAACTAGGACTGGATGCTCCCTCCCCCATCCCACAGAGGGTTGCCATCACTTCTGGCTTTGCAGTGCTGCTCAGGGACACACGGGCAGCAGGAACAGTTCAATAACAGCAACACTACAAAGCAAAGCTCTCCTGTGCAATCGGAGCACGCTCCTCCTGTGAGGGAAAGGCCAAGGGGCACTCATCCAGCCCGAGCCTGGTGGGAATGGGTGAGGTGGATGAGCTTCCAGCCAAACGAGGCCTCTGCTCTCGCATGCGGCTTGTGTCAGTGAATAAGGGAGTGAGCAGGTCCCTGGCTGCTGTACGGAGCCAATACCTCCAGGTCCCACATCTCTTCCCTGGAAGGTTGGAGTGAGGATTACTCTTCCAACACACACCTGTTGCAGGATCTGGCCCACAGTATGAGCCAGAGGTCAAAGGAAGGACTTCACCTCCAAAAATACCTGGGGGAAAAACTCAAGGACATGATGATCTGCAGAAAATAGGGTCAACCTTGATGCCCCTTGGGCTGTGGTGACAGCACCAGGTGACCTGTTGTGGACTGGGCAGGCTGAGGCATGGCCTCCCCTCCACTGCCTGCCCCCCCAGCTGGGTTTCAAACAGGAGGTGGAAATCGCGCAGCCAAATCAAACCAACCCAGGTTTCCATTTTCAGGAGGCAGCCGCATTTCTCGGGAGCGCTGGGCCAGCATGAACCCAGCACTGCCGCCAAGAATTCGCTAACAATTCCCTGGAACTTCCCCATCTGCTCCGGCAGGATTTGCTGCTTCCCATAAACTCCGGTCCCACTTGGCAAAGCTGCTCCCAGACCTCTCCAGGCACCAGATCTGCAGGGGCTGCCCCAATGCAGTAGGGTGGGGGGACCAGAGGGGACCTGCCACTGTACGGAACAGACTCTAGTGCTGCTGTGTCCCTGTGGACACCATGGTTTTGCTGCCAGGTGAAATAATTAAGCCAGACCCCCTTGCTTGTCCCTTTCCAAGAAGTACAAGCCTCCATCCTGCTGTCCGCGCAGCTGCCCCCAGGGCACTACCTGACTCGCAGGGACCCTCATGGGTCACGGTGAGGTTGGCATCAGGGTGGGCACGGGCGACCTCCAGGAACCTGCAGATCTGGGCGTAGGTTTTGCCATCGGAGCCACAGAGGGCCAGGTGGGAGAGGCAGGCACACTGGGGCTCGGGCACCTCTCCGTGCCGCAGGTCCCCGGCATCCAGCCGGCACTCCAGGTGCTCCCCGCACTTGCCGTAGAAATGGTTGGTGTTGTCCAGGTCACAGATCTGTCCCTCCAGGTTGGCACACTCCCAGCAGCAGTCGCAGGCGTCCCGCACTGTGCCAGCCAGGCATCCGCGTGGCGCTGGGCACTCCTCCGGCCGGCACTCCGCACAGCCCTCCCCTTCCTCCAGCAACCGCTGCCAGCCCCGCTGGAGGTAGTCAGAGGTGCTGGGAAAAGCCTGGCCCAGCTGGAGCGAAGCCCAGTGCAAGGAGAGCAAGAAAAGCACGAGGCAAGATGAGCTCAGGGTCTTGGCTTCAGACATCCTCACGGCAGCTCCTCTATCCCGGTCCCACCATCACTTGGACAGGGATCTCCAGCACTGCTCTGGCCTCTCTGGCTAGATCCGAGGAGCCATCCTGGCCTGTAAGGAGGGAGGACGTATGTGCAGGGAGCATCTCCCACCTCTCTGACTCCCCGCTGGCTCGCCCTGAGCGTCAGCACTGCATGATGTGCAGGGGAGGGTTGGTCCCAAACCCTCTCACCTACAGACCCACAGCCACATCCTTCCCACCCTGGGGCTTCCCAACCAGATCCTGCACCAAGACATTGAGTATCCTCTGGCGGGGTAGTCTGCTGACCCCAGACCCACCGGGTTTCATTCTTCTTCTGTGTCAGCCCTGTGGGCAAAGTCCAGACTGCTCTGACCCCACCATGGCCTGGGGAGCCACAGGGCTGCTGTGGGGGCCTGACAGGCTGCTCTACACCGTCGTGGCTCAGCTGGTTTGTACCCTGCTCCTCACCTCCTCTCAGGAAGCTGCCCTCAAACCAGGTTCCCCTTTCCTTTCCCTATCACTTTGCAAGAGTCATGAGCCCTTTTTTGCTCCCTCACCACCCAGACAAGCACAATGGAGCGGCTGATCCTGCAGACAAGGGGCTCCTTCCATTGCTGGAGGCAGCCAGCTGAGAGGAGCCAAGCCAGGAGGATGCTCCCAGTCACGCCTGGCTTTTGTCCTCCTCCCCTCCCTGCACCATAACCCCTCCTTTTAGGCACCACCTGCCTGAGCAAAGGAAGAAACACACCCACAAGAAAGCTCTGTGACCCCCTCAGTTATCACACAGGCAACTGAGGCTGAGCACGAGGGAACTCAGTGCACAAGTGGGCAGTCAGTGGACTGGCAGCAGGCCCAGCATGATCAGCCCGTACTGTCACAGCAGGGTCCCTGTCCCCAAACCCCAAGCCTGCATTACACCCCCACCCCAAGTAAGCCGAGAGGCTGATCTGTCCCAGGCTTCCCATCTCTGCCAAGGGGACATATGTGGTCTCAGAACCTGTTCCCAAAGGGGGTGACAATGAACGGAACCCCTTTGTGAACACCTCCCTGGGCCCTGGTTACACTCTGCCTGCCTTCTCCGAGATGAAGTAAAATTACACTCCCCTGCCCCAGGGCCACCCAGCATGAGCGAGTGGGGCTGGGGAATGGACCCACTCGGCCAGACTGCCCTGTCCCCTCCTGCTGGAAACAGCACCGAAGGGCAGCCTGCAGCCCCCCCAGCTGCACCCCACAGACCCCTCAATCCTCCAGGGCTAACGCAGCCTGGAGCCAGGGTGGGGTGCTGGGGCTGGCCAGGTCGGTGAGTTACACACACACGCACCCCCTGGATAACAAACTGTGAAACTTTGACCTATTTCCTGGAGACCACCGAGGCCCCCCCCCAGGGGTAGAAAGGGTCCAGGGGGTCCCGGTGCTGGAGCTCTTCCTCCCCCCACCCCCCCATTCCGGGCTGTACACAGCAAGGCCCCAGCCCCCGATGGATGTGGGGGGCCAGGGAAGGGGAAGGATAACTGCAAAGTTGGTCTCTGGCTCCCCAAGTCCGGGCTGCAAGCGCTGGGGGTCCTGGCTGAGTCCTGGGAAAGGGGCACGGTGTCCCTCGGGAGCCACCCCGCCGCAAGTCGTCACTTACCGGAGGTGCCGGTGCCGGGGAGCGGCGGTTTCGGGGGGCTGCGGGTGCGCAGTGCCCGTGGCGGTGGGGCTGCTGGCCCCCGGCTGCTCCGGCACCCGCCGTGATGTCAGCGAAACGTGAGTCCCCCCGCCCCTCTCCGGGCCCGCCGCCCATCCCTGGACCGGGACCCGGGCTGCCCCGCACCCCTTCCCTGCCGGGGTCCCACCACCCACTGCACCCTGGCCCCAGCTCCGGCACCCCCCCCCCGACACCGGTGCCTCCCCGCGGACCCTCACGCTGCGGTCACCCCAAGCTGCCTGTCAGGACCTGGGCTGATGCTCAGCTCCATCCGTGGGGCAGGAGGGGACCAGAGTGGGGGGACAGAGACCACCTGTGGGGACGAGAGAATGGGAGGGGAAAAGCTGGGGGTGGGCACGGCTGGGGAAGTGGGAAAAAGCACCTCCCAAACAGTAATTTGGGTGGGAAACACAGGCTGAAACACTGAGCAGCTGCTGTGATGAAATGGGGGGATAACTCCCAGGGGGTGTCTGTGCTCACCCCACCCCGGGAGCCTGGTACAAAGGGGGTATTGGGGTGCAAGCAGTGGCATTACCTTGGCTGGAGTGGAGCTGTCGGGAGCAATGGTGGGGCTGCTCCACACCATGGCAGTGCAAACCCTCACGCGTGGGGCTGGGGCCCCAGAGCCCCCCCGGCAAGCTGCCTTGCTGCTCCCTGCCTCAATTTCCCTGGCTCTGAGCAGCAGGGAACCTAGCGTGCTTTTGCAGCACAAACACGCCATGCATTTACATCTTGCTCCTGCCACTGAGCTGGGGGGGATCTCACAGCCTGCTCCCCTCCTCCAGGTGAGGAATTTGTGAGATTTGCTTCCCCAGTGAAGCTCAGGCAAAGCAAAGCTGCCGCAGGACCCCTCGGAGGATCTGGTTTCCTTCACCATGCTGCAAAAATCTGCTTTTGCTTTCCAACACCCTCCTGCAAATTTGTTCCGAGCTCCAGGGCTTTCGCTCAGTCATGTTGTGAATCCAGCCATGGCTAATGATGGAAAATGCGCCAGGCTTTGGCCCCCCTAAATCCGCCTTTGCTGGCCAAGCCCCCCCCTCCAGCCTGCTGCTGCAGAGGGGGATTTCCTGCCAGCTCTGCCTTCATCCTCACGTCCTGCTCCCCCTCTGTGGCCCCCAGCCCCTTGGCTCAGGGCTGCCTCCCTCCCCAGCTCCCCTCGCTTGGCCCATCCAGCACGGTCCCAGCGTGCCACAGGTTTTTGGGCCCCACATCCAGAAGTCGCGGAGCAACTGGGGCTGCAGCTGCTTTGGGAGCAGGGAAAAAAAGTCAGGAGAGGCTGAGAGTTTCCTACACGCACCTCTAGAGCAAGTTCAGAGCCTGAGCAGGGAGGGGACAGGCTGTTGGTGACACAGACAGAGCTGCCCCTGCCATGCCCTGCTTCCCTGCCTTGGGACAAAGCATCGCCTTCCTGTCTGGGCTCTGGACATCCCTGAGGCAAGTGCACCCTCGCCAGCTCCACACAATAGGCAAAGCAGTGGGGTGAGCCTGGTCCTAAATTCCACCTTCAGCCCACACAGCTCCTGGCTGGCACAGAAATAGAGCCAGCACTTAAATCCCAGGCACCACTGAAAAGTGGGGCCAGCGATGGTGCCTGGTTATTTGCTTCTCTTGCAGCAGGGCAGGGGGGTGGGACAGACCCCACTGCTGCTGCCCTTCCCTGCACATGAAGACCCCAGCTCTAGCTCCTCCCATGTGCCATGGCCCGGACACCTCCCACATCCCTGTCCCCATGGGGTAACTGTAGCTTCTGGGTGTCTGGCTTCATCTGAGCATCACTGCAGCATATGCTGCTCGCAAGGTGGGGAGAGGCCACGTCTCTGGATGGAAATGCCCTGGCCAGAGGTAAAATCCAACCACAGATCTGAGCAGGGAAAGCTCCAGCTGTGGTGCAACACAACCAAGCACCAGGAAGCCATAGGCAGCCCAGCTCAGCTCAACAAGATGGAGCTCAAACCTGGCAGGTAATTAAACCTCCTGCTTAATGAGACTATTGAATGTGCTAATAAATAGTAGCAGCTATGAATGAGGGGTGGAAGATCTAACCTGTGTTTAACAAGGAGCTGTGCTCAATCACACCTCGAGTCAATCAGTGCTGCCCCTGGCTACACCTGGGGCTTGTGGCTCTGGGTGCTGGGAGCAGACTTGAGGGGGGAAAAGGGAGGTTGCAGCCCTGTGTGGCCTGGCACCAGGGTAAATCACATTCCCAGCTCTACTGCTGACCAGTTATCCCTCCTTTCTCACTTGCCCCAAGCCCAGTGAATCTCCTGAAAATGGGCTTTGAAGGTACAGCGAGCCTCAAGCACCAAAGTCCCTTCCTCCCTCCCCAGTGGGTTGCTCCCCACCACCATTTCCCACCCGTGATGGTGTTATTGAAGCCAGGAGTCAGTGGATGCTCCCAGCAGACCCACAGTCATGGCATCCCTCCAGAGCTCTGTCATCAGGATGTGTCCCTGATGGCAAAGATGTCATGGCTGGTACGGGGTGCCCCACTGCTCCTAGCCCCACTGACTCTCCCCGTGGCCTCGGGCTGATCTGTACCACTCCATGGGGATCTGGGGCTTCCAGCAGTTGAGGCCAAGGAAAAAAAACACCCTGGAAAAAACGCCCCGGGCCAAGTGACTCAATGCATGTCATGTCAGGGAGTGTTGGCGAGAGGCGTTAGGGCTGGTGGGGACAGGAATGCGGGTTATGTCACAGCAGAAGCAAATGTCACTGGGAGATGCTGGGGCAGGGGGTGCTGCCAGCACGCTGCCTGGGGCTGTGGGGGTCTCGTTCTCATAATAAACCAATTTCCCTTGTTTCACCTCAAACCCACCGCTGCTCCTCTCCCGCTATGCAGAGCAGCCTGGCACAGCCGGGGTCTGCCCATCCCACCCCAAGGCCATGCAACTCCTGGGGGTCCCAGATGCATCTTTGGGGTCCACTGTGGGGACAAGGGACAAATAGCAGGCAGGTCCCTCCCATCCTGCATGCCAGGCAGGACCCGTGCTGGGAAGCAGACTCAGGTTTCTCCAGGCTTTTCCAGAGCAAATTCCTCCCAAGAACAAACCCATCAGCAAATTCTTGAGGAAACAGTTGCAGCTGTGAGCAGGAAGGACGAGGGGCTCTCAGGCCGGCCCTGAGGAGCGGTGGCCGGGCGGCAAGGGACGCTCCGGTCCCCAAACTGCTGCGGTGTCCCCGGCCGGAGCCTGCCTGGCCCCTTCTCCCCCAGGACCCACTGCTCGGCTGGGCTGGATGCAGCTCCGCGCCTTCCCCGCAGGAACCCCCCCCACTTTCACTGAAGTTTTTCCACCAGTCCCACCCAAAAGCAGGTCCTATAACCCGGGGCCGGGACCCAAAAGGGGGTGGCGGGGGCTGCATTTCCGAGGATGCCCCCCCCCCCCCCCCGCCCGGCTGACACGGCCACGCCAGCTTTGACACCTCGGGGCCGGGTGAGCGCGGTTCCCACCGCCCCACCCGGGCTCCTGCCGCACCCCTGACCCCGCAGCAAACGGGAGCACCCCCTAAACGTCCCTGCCCCCCCCCCCCCCCCCCCCCCCCCCCCCCCGCCTGAGGGGCTGAGCCGGCGGTGCGGGCAGGCGGTGCTGCCACCTCCAGGTCACTGCTGCCGTGACACTGTCCCTGTACCCGGGCCCACACATCCACCTCAGTGTCCCCCCTCCATCTTTCCTGCACACCAAAACCAAGGCCCCCCCCCGCCAAAAAAAGCCCACCCTGGGGATCCCCTATGGCAACGTATTGTCCTAAGGGACTTGGGGACTCTCCTGGGGTGCAGGGACCCTCTGCTCAGCCTGTCCCAGGTGCACGGGGCTGCACAGTCTCCACAGCCCTGGGGGGGGGGAAAGGTGCTGCCAGCTCAGTGGCACCATGCCCTGTGGCCACTGTCCCCTTTGCCACCCTCCCTTTCCCTGGCTCCCAGCAGCGCCAGCAAGGCTGGGACACAACCAGGGAAGGTGACAAGGTCACCCACCGCCACCACCCCGACACCCCCTGCCACTGGGGATGGGCGCTGGGGAGGGGGAGCCTGCCCATCCCCACCCCCCCCACCCCACCCCCCCCAGCAAGAGGCTGCCCATTTCCAGGCGTCATTAAAGAGCAATTAGCTGGAAATTAAGCTGAGAACAAGTATTGATTAGCTCATTAAGTCTGGGGGAGCCGGCTGTGGCAGTAGGAATTGCTGCCGCTCGCCCTCATTATGGGCAAGGTTAAAGCTTGCGGTAGGGCAGCTCATTAAAAATGCCAGGGGCCAATCGATGTCCCCAGCCCAGCGCCACCCAGCACCCCCAGTACCCCTTGGGGACACCCTGCAGCTGCCCTTCGGGGACTGGCCTGTGACCTCTGGAATGAACTGTCTCGGGAATGAACTTGCTCTCCTTGCATCCACTGCTGCATCCAGGACTCCCTCGCCAAAGCAGCAGTGTCACCTTTGGGCATGTCAGCCCCTCAAAATTCACCAGCCAGGGGGTCATCTTGCTCTCCCCTCCAACCAGGGGACCTGTGAGGACAGGCCCCACCTAGCACAACAAAGTGACCGAGTCTGTGGGCTCTCAGCAGTGCTGCCAGCCCCTGGAGAGGACACCCGGTGTGACTGGTTTGCAGGGCAGCACCCCAGACCTGCTCTCCACCAGAGCTGAGTTTATCAGGTCTCAGCCTAGCAGTGCCAGCTTGTGTGGGTAGGGGACAGACCAAAGGGGACTCAGGGATGGGATGAAAGCAGCTGGGGACACGGGGACAGGTGAAAGACATCCAGTGGCTCTGTGCAGCCGCGTGCTGCCATGCCACCCTGCTCTGCACCCCAACCCCACAGCTCTGGGGGTTCTTCGGGTGAGCCTGGACCTTGCCTTGCCATCCAGCCAGACCCAGCCACCCTGAGCCCCTCTGTGCCCAGTCCACTGTCCCCTCCAGTGTCCCTCCCATCCCCGTCTTTGCCTCTTGCGGCCACCAGCATCTCAGAGCTAGCTCCCAGCCAGTGCACACATGGAGAGTGTCCCCACGCAGACCGGTGTTGCAGAGGGGGGGCAGGTGTCATCATTATTTTTGTTTTCTTTGCACTGCCCTGGAAATATATTGTATTCTCAGCTAATCCCGTTCAATTACACCACAATAAAACACATAATAAAAACGTAATTCATTTTTCCTGAGCGTTCCATCTCCCTGTGTCTTGGCAAGCTATTAAAAATTTGTCTTCATTTTTCTGGCAAGAGCCTTGTACCTTTTCATCTTTAATTTATGAGAGCGGAATAGCTACTGACAAGTCCTTATTGCGCAGCGAGGGGCTGCATTATTTATAAGCCGCCAATGGCTGGCTCAGGGGAGATATTTGCAATATGCCGCGGCCAGCAGAAGGAGGGGGACAGATCCCTGACATGTCTGTCCCAATCCGCTCCCCCACCCTGGGTGGGTTCTGGGTGCAAGTTTCCTTCTGGCAGCCCCTGGGGTGGGGAGCACCCCTTGCCTGGCCTCTGCCAGACCCTGCCTGCCGGGAAAGCTACGGCACAGGGTGGCTCTGGGCTGCCTGGTCCTTATCTCACCAGCTGCTGCATCTGCCCATCTTTGGCTTTGCAGCGACTCTCGCTCCTCCGTCCTGGCTCGGTGCAGGGGCTCTGCAGGGTGTGGTTGCCTCCATCCCTCCCCTCCTTGCATGGACATCCGTCGCTTCTTCTGACTGCCCCAGCTTGTGGGTGACACAGCCGCTGCCTACAGGCTTGCCAGGGTCCCACGACAGCAGCAACATGCTCTCTGATAGCCGTGCATAGAAAGCGGGATAAAAATATCCTCGCTGGAGAGGCAGGCACAGGCCCAGGGCTGGGATTGAAGCAGAGCGTCCTGTGAGCGGGCTGCGAGAGGGGGTGGGAGCATGGGCAGGGCGGGGGAGACGCTCGGGTCTCTCCAAACCAGCAGCATCCAGGGCAGCATCTTAGCAGAGCCCTCTGCACCGGGGTGAAGTGCAAAGCCCTTGGTGCTAAAAAAAGCCCTCCTGACAGCTGGATGAGCTTAACCACACGCCGAACCAGCCGGTGCCACTGCAAAGGCAACGGGCTGGAAAATGGGGGGGCAGAGCCCTGCCCTGGGGGGCACAGGGGCACCCCGGCACCCAACCTGCCTGTCCCTCCTGCTCCCATCCTCACCCTGAGGCCAGCCCCTTTCCACCATATAAAAACTGGCAAGTGACATGCTTCTCTTTGCTTTTGGTTTCGTATAAACAACCTGCCTTTATTACTTGGTATATATAGGTACATTATATGTATATAAAAAATAACTAAAGGAAACCACAGTGCACTTAAAGCTATTTGAGAAGGTCCACCTGAAAGCAAGCACTCCAGGAGGGGGTTGAGTGACCCCTCGGGGGGAGCCCAGCCCTGAACATAGATGGCATTAAAATGAGAATGAAAAGGGTGACTCTCTGCTGGGATTAAAATGTGCCATTTGCTCTGGAGATGGAAGGAGCAGAAAGCCAGATTAAATCCCCAGAGCAGCCAAGAGGAGAGCAGAGGGTGATCCGAGAGCACACACCCGGGCTGGGAGGGACCCTGTGGGTTCAAGCCACCGTGTGCGCTTGAAATCACTCACGGCTATTTTGGATATGGGGAGTTTTCCTCTCTGAAAGCTGCTGTGCCATCCCCAGGCACCAGCTGCTGAACTACTGGGGAACGTGGGGTGCCTGCAGAGGGGTTCGACCCTCAAACGCCATGATTGTCCACTGCCTCCTAAAGCTGGGGAGCACCATTTTCTTCCTCACCCCACATCCCCGCTTGCAGGGGGGGGTGCAACCACTCTCCCTTGTGCACCGCACGCAGCTACAGCCACACGCATGGCGAGCGCGGGAGAAACGCACCGGGGTGCCAGCCGGGAGGTCCCCAGAGCAGGGCTGAGCCCAGGCACGGGGACGGGGTTCGGGGCGGTGCTGCGTGGCTGTGGGCATCCTGGGAAGCAGGGATGAGCACCTGGGACCTACGGACACACAACGGCCAAGGGAAAGCAGCGGCAGCCCCGAGGGGCTCCAAGGGGCAAAGCTCAGCAGTGCGCCAGCTCAGTGGCTCTGCGGCACCCATCTCGGCCGCCCTGGGACCCCCCTTCAGAGCCCTTTGTTGAAGTAGACGGTCTCCAACCGTGGGTCTTTCTCCTGGATCCGAGCTTGGACTTCAGGCTCCAGACGGCTCACAGACATTGAGCTGCCGAAGGGACACAGATGCAGGGGATGGAAGGGGGACACCCGCTGGGAGCCCAGGTTGGGAAACCACCAGCTGCCACCCCTTCCCCACCTGCACCCTATGGGGATGTTGTCCCCACAGCCCAGCGCAGACCTTTGGGTCTGCATCACTGCATGCGCACAGGGATGTGCGTGTGCACACACAGTTTCAAGCCTCTGATTGCTCAAAGGAGAAAAAGTATCTCTTGGGGGGTCAGAGAGCACAAGGAGCCCACATGGCTCCTGCTTGCACCCCATGCCCTGCCCCACGGGGCTGTACACGCAGGCAAGGGGTCCGTCCTTACCTTTTTTGTGGGAAGAGTGCGCAGCACAGCGGGGTTGCAAACACCAAGCTGCAAGGGAAGGACATGGAGAGGAGAAACTGGACTGCATAAATCACTCACTCCCAACTGCAGCCTGATCCCAGAGCAGCAAAGGAGGAAGCCCAGAGCCGTGCTGGGTGCTCAGCCAGGAATGGGTTAAGGAGACACCCTCTCTGGGCTCCAGACCCCACATTCAGCTCCTGAAGCTCCTGAAGGGGAGCAAAGCCTGTCTCCATCAGTGTTGGGGAACAGCTGTGCTGAGCAGGAGCCTGTGGCAGGCTTGAGAGACATCAAGATGGAGCAAAACAGCTCCCAGCCTCAGGACATCATATCCCATCCCATCTGCCTGGAGGGGCACCAGCCTGACCGAGCTCTGGCATCTCCCTGAGGAGCTCCGGGGCAGCTCTCTCCTGCTCTGCCAAGCAGACCCCCCCAGCAGCACTGCCTCCCATATCCGAGCTCAGTCTGTGCCCGGGGCAGCGATGCCCATCGATGGAGGGTGACTTACCAGAGTCCCACCAGGCCGACCTGCAGAGGAGCGTTCAGGTACGGGTACCGCTGCCGGGAACAGGGAGAGACTGTGCATCAGGGGGGTGGACGGGGCAGGAAGGTGTCTGTTCCCCGACAGAGTGCCAGCCCTGAGAGGTGCCAGCACCTGTGACAAGTGAGAGGGGGGTCCCCATGACCACCTTCCCATCCCAGGACCACCAGTACCTTCAGGAAAGCTCTCTTCTCCAGAGCGTTCATGATCACTGGGGGGATGGCTGGGGTAGAGAGGAAGGAAATGAGGTCCCAGTGCTCGCAGCCCCCTGCCAGCCATGGGACCCCGTCCCATGCTGCCAGGGAGCGGCTGCAGTCTCTAGACACAGGTGGAAGAGGGGACACTCACCCATGGCCGGGGCTGCCATGCCGATGCGGGACACCACCACCTGGAAAATGGCCTTCTGGGCTGCAGCTGTGGACTCGCCCAGGCGGTTCCCATTCTCATCCATGACGGGGATCCCCAGCTTGAGTTCTCTGTGGAGAGAGCAGGGGTGAAGGGAGCCGAGGGCACACGGGTGGGAGGATCAAGGGATAGGGCAGGGACACAGCACAGGCACATGTCTTCCAAGGGAGGTTGGCATCCTCCTGTAAGGAGGGTAAGGGATGCCAGCAGGACCAGGAAGGAAGCCCCTGCAAGCCCAGGGCACTGCTCCCCGCGTCCCCCACCAGTGTCTGGTAAACCCCGACACAAGCCCAAGTACCCCAGCCCAGCCCGGGGGCTCACCTCTGCCTCATCAGCGGGATGTTGATGCAGTTGGCAGCAGCCACGGCTGCGAAAGGCACGTACCGGCCGATGATGGCTGGCAAGTGCTGGAGGGGCAAGCAGAGACCGTGTCACGCAGAGGGTCTGGGGGCAGAGCTGGCTGTCCCCACATCTGCCACTATTCCCCTGCAAGACCCTGGAGTGTCCCAGCCCCACTGGGAAAAAACATTCCCTCCTCCACTGCAACTCCCAGTTGGTCAAAGCTGCAGAGCCCGGGGGGGCCCGGGGGGTCCCATGTCCCCTCCCAGCCCTGGAGGGGAGGCCGAGGGGTGAAAAAAGCCTGAAGAGATGCAGCTGGGGATGGAGCGGGACTGAAGAACCAGGCCATCTCTGGAGCCATTGCTGAGGAGAGGGGCTGCCTTGTGTGGGTCCCCCCAGGCAACCCCATTCCTCCATTTTCTCCCCTGCCCCAGGTGATGGGGAGCTGAGGGAGACCCCACAGGGAAGGTCCAGGTGCCCCGGCCACCTTACCTTGGTGAGCGATTTGAGCCCCAGTGCTGTGACAACCGCCCCCGTGGTCGCACTCACATAGGCTGTCCCCAGCTGGCTGCAAGAGCAGGAGGTGACATCAGTGAGCCAGGATCCCCCCCACCCCACCTCCACCCCAAAGGAGGGGACAGCATGCCCTTCAATAGCAGCAGGACACTTGGGTTCCTCTCCCAGCTCTACCACCAACCTCGACAGCCCCACCGGTGTCCACCTCTGGCTGCGCCAGGTCCCCACCACCCCATCTCACAGCCTCCCGCTATTCAAGAACCTCTTCAAGGCACCCCTCATAGCATTTTGGGGTGCCCTGGAGACCTGGCCAGAGGGATGCTCACCTGGGGGTGATGGGTGCATCCCCGCTGCGGTTGGTGTAGTTGACAATGGCGTTGAAGGACTGGTTGACCCACTGCCAGAAGAGCACAGCTGGTGTGGTCCTACCAGAGAGAGGAGGGTGCTGGTGGCACCAGGGGACGCCACCCATGCTCCTACAGCATGGGTGCCCTGGAGGGGTCCAGTGCCCCCTCCCTGGGCACCCTCCTGGCCCTGGGGTGAGGAGGGGGACAGGTACCTGTAGAAGGTCAACATGCAACCAGTGATGGTCATGTTCATGGGGACCTGGGCGGACATACGTCCCACGAGGAGCATCTTCTCGCCCGTGTCGGGGTGGAAAGCCGAGTCGTAGATGTACTTCGCCCGCCAAAGCTGGTCCTCCGTCAGCCCTGGGGGCACCGTGCCCGCCCTGCCGGGCAAGGGTAGCACCCATTGGGAGACCCTCCGCCAGTACCCGTGCCCCACCTGGTCCCCCACCCCATGCGGAGCAGCTGGGAGACACCTTAGGGCCCGGCCAGGCAACTTGGGGGGCTAGCTTTGGTGGGGAAGGGGGGGGAGCAGCACTGCCCGAGGCTGTATCCTGCCGGGAGCGGCGCTGGGGGGTACGGCTCCCCCCTCGGTACCTGTAGTCCTCCACCACCCGTCGGGCTTCCTCCAGCGTGGCCCCCGAGAGCAGCAGGTTTCGGGGGTCAGTCACCATGAAGAAGTGCTTGGCCCGCCCCGGGAAGGTGCTCTGGTCCCAGCGGGGCTCCCGGATGTTGATGGTGGCAGTCAGGGACGGTGGCATCTTCTGGGGGGGGGGGGGGTGTGTTGTGTGTTACATGGGGTGAGGTGCCTGTGAGTCTGCATCCCTCTGCATCCCCGCCGGGGCAGCTCCGGAGCTCCCCCAGCCTGGGGGGGCACGGGGGGCACACGGGGACCCCCTTTGCAGTGGAGCTGAGTGGGGACCCCTGAGCCCAGCTCATGGGTGGGGAACACCACCACTGCACACACACACCCCCCCCCCCCCCGCCCTGCAATCTGTCAGGGGGGAGCCCCCCAGTGCGGCTGGCACCAGCCACCAGAACCCTTAGGAGCGACCCCCCACCCCCGCGGGGCACCCCGGCCACGGGTGGGTGGAGGGGGAGGACGGGGACCCACCGCCTCGGCGCTAGCGCTGCTGCCAGTCGCGGGGGGGGGGTGGTGCGAGGAAAGGCACGGGAATGCGGAAAAGTCCCACCCGGGCAGGCACCGAAACACACGGCGCGGTCTCATTTCCACGCCCGCCCTTTCCCGCGAGAAGCGGGACGCCGCTCCCCGCCCCGGGGCCGAGCATCCCTCCCCCCACGTGTGACCCCCCCCCCCCCCGCCCTCCCCACCGTAACGACCCAGGCCAGGGCCTCCCCCAGAACTCACGGCTTCCCGGGCAGCTCCCGCCGTGCCCCCCCCGCCGCCGCCGCCGCCGCCCCGCTCCCGCCCGGCGCGCTGACGTCCGGCCTCGTCACGGGGGGGGGGGGCGGCCCCGCGGCGGGGGGGGAGCCGCGCGGCGCCGCGCGGGGGGCGGCGGGGGCCACGCGGGACCGGGCCGGCGGCGGGGGGGGCGGTACGTGCCGAGCCGCACGCGGTGTCTGGCCCCCCGATTGCGCGCGTGGGAGCGCGCGTGGGTGCGCCGGATTACTCGCGCGTGGGGTGCGCATGCTCACGTGGGGGGTGCCCGTGCGCGCTCACGTGCGTGTCTGTGTCCGTGCGTGTGCGTTCACGTCGGTTTCTGCTCGCTCGGGTGCTCGGGTGTGTTTTCACGTGGGTGTTCACGTGCGTGTTTCTGCGCGTGCCTGCGCGCACAAGGGTGTCCCCGTTCCGGCCGTGCGTATCCGCGGGCTCACGCGGGTTTTGATGCCTGTGCCACGCGCGCGCGTACTTGTAACGTTGTGCTCGCACGGGCCGCGTTGGTGTTCACGCGTGGCACGGCAGTTGCGTGCGAGCGTGTGCGGGGCAGCGCCTCCGCAGAAGCGGGCGCCTGCTCGTGCATGGGGCGGTGCGTGCGGGCACACGCGTGTGCACAGCTGTGCGCGTGTGCGTGTGTGTGAGCGGAGCCGCGCGCGCCCGTGTGCGCCGCCGCGCGTGCAGCGGCGCTCCGTGGGTGTCTGCGAGTGTGCGCACAGCCGGCACGGCCGCTCTTACACGCGTGTGCGTGCGCAGGGCTATAAACACGCATGCCGTGGACGTGTGGGTGCCTGGGGTGTGTATGTGTGTGGGTGCGTGTCCCCACGCCGCCCCAGCCCCTAACCCAGGCGCCCCCGCCGCGCCTGGTGTCAGGGTCCCCCGTGGGCGTGGGGGGACCCCCCCGCCCCGGTCCCCGCCCCCGCCGCCCGGCCGCGGTCCCCCCGCAGCCCCCCCGGCCGCCGCGCATCACCTGAAACCGCCGCGGTGTCGGGTTCGCGCTGGCGGCGCCGGGCCCCGCCGGGGGGTCACGGCCAGCCCGGGGTGGAGGCGATGCCCCCCGGGGAGGGGGACACGGGGGGACACCGCCTCGCATCACCGGAGTGAGCGGGGGGGGGACACGACACACCCCCTCCCCTGACCGTGCCTCAGTTTCCCCTGCGTGCCCCCGCGATGCTCCGCGCTAAGGGAAGGGCTCGGGGAGGGGGGGCACCGCGTCCCACGCCCCACGCAGCCCCACGGGGGGACGCGCCCCCCCCCCGAGCCCCACCACCCCGTGCCCGGGGGGGGGGGGGAGCCTGTGTCCGTTCTCCCCCCCCCTCCCCCCCACCCCAGCCGCAAGGCCAGCCCTGGCCGCTCGTGATTGACAGCTCCCGCGCCCGATGGCCGCGCCGGTCCCGCAGGGGCAGCCAATCCCCGCGGACGGGGGGGCAGGAGGCGGCGCTGCCCCCCCCCGGCCTCTCCATCCCCCCCGCGCTGCCGGGTGTCTCTTTCGCAGGTGGCATCATGGGGACAGGTGAGGAGGGCACGGGGCGGGGGGGAGGGACGGCAGTGGGGGGGTCCCCAGCGCCCCTTCGGGGAGGGGGGCACCGCAGGCTGATGCTGGGGGGGGGACAGCGGGGGTCGCCGTGGGGGGCTGGCAGGCGGCAGGGACACCGGCGTGTCCCCCTGGCCGGGGACATCACTTATTTATTGAGGTCAGGCTGGGGCGAGCGGGGGACGAAGCGCGGGGGGAGGGCCCCGTGGTGGCGTTTCACCCACGCCTGGAAAATCCCCGCGGGAACTGCCCCGAGGGGCAGCGGACCCGTCTCCTGCCCCATGGCAGCTCCCGGCGGGGTAAATCCGGAGGGGCTCCGGGGTGGATGGGGAGAGGCTCTTCCCCACCTCCTGCTGCAAAGCCCCCCCAAGGAGGGGCTGGGGGGGTCAGGTACTGCTCTCTGGGGTACAGCTGAGGTCCCCACGTCCCCTCTCTGGAGCCTTTCCAGATTTATGCTGCCAGGTAAAGCCCCTTTGCGCCCCCGTGTTCCGGATTTATGCTACCAGCTAAAGCCCCTTTGCACCCCTTGCTCTGGCTTTACGCTACTATCTAGAGCCCCTTTGCACCCCCTATTCCGGATTTACGGTGCCAGGCAATGCCCCTTTGCACCCCGGCACCCTTGCCCCAGGGCAGGGCAGCCTGTGCCTGCCACCCCCAGGGTGGTACCCCTGAGCCCTGCAGCAGTTTGGCCCCCGGGATGCTATAGGGATGGGAGGGGACAGGGCTGGAGAGGGGGGTCATGAAGCTCCTTGTCCCCACCCCCCCAGGCTGTGCCGCTGCGTCCGGGACCCGTCCTGCCAGCGCCGAGCACCCACGCCAGCCGGCCCCGGCATCGCGCTGCTAAGAGGGAGCGGTGCCCGAGCCCGGGCATGTGCTGCTGGACTATGCCATGTCCCCCCCCGGCCGGCGGGCAGCCCCGGCCCCGTGAGGACGCGGCCAGCCCCGAGCCGGACGCCGGGACGCCGGGGTGCCCAGTGCCACCATGGCCCAGGACTGGGACGCGACACTGTCGGGGATGACGGCGGGCAGCCGGTCGCGGAGCTCCAGCAGCGAGGCCAGCCTGGCTCCCCAGTGGCTCCTCAGCAAGCAGAGCCGCCTGCTCAACGGGGCCACCCGGGGCAGCCGCGCCGCCTCCCCCATGGGCCGCGTCATCCTCATCAACGCCCCCATCGAAGGTGCGTGGGGTGTCCCCCCCAGACCTCTGCCCACCCGCGTGGCCGGGGGGGGGGCCTGGCTGCCTGGCTTCCCTGGGTCTGGGGGCAGGGAGGGCTGTCCTGGGGCTGGGGACATCCCCAGCGAGAGAGACACCCCCCGCTGTTGCTCGCACCCAGCCTCGGTGACGTGTCCCATCCCTTGTCCCCGCAGCCAGCAGCAATGAGAGCGACATCATCAACGCCATCACGGTGGAGAAGAGCGTGGATGGCAAGCTGGGCTTCAGCGTCCGCGGTGGCTCTGAGCACGGGCTTGGCATCTTCGTCAGTAAAGTGGAGGAGGGCAGTGCTGCTGGTAAGTGGGACGGGGCAAGGGACACCAGTGGGGACAGGCACGTGCCATCAAGACCCTCTCAGGGGGCTCCCAGTGACATGGTGCCACAGCAACGATGCCACCCTTCATGGTGGGCAAGCCGCCATTTGCTCCCTGCCACCTCTGGCCATGGGGTTTTCAGGCTTTCCACGGAGAAGGGCAGGAGACAGGAGTGGGCAGCTGGTGGCTCTGAGCTCCATCTCCCAAGCCACAGTGAGGTGACAAGCCCCTGATGCCTGCCACAGCCTTGGTGTGATTGCCAGGCATCCCTGCCTCTGTTCCCGTGGGGTTTCAATCAGGCTGGGGACACGTATAGGGAGGGGGGATGCCAAACAAGGGCATCGGTGCCAGGTTGGGTGCCCAGCCGAGCCGCGTGCGTCTTGCAGAGCAGGCCGGGCTGTGTGTTGGTGACAAGATCACGGAGGTGAACAGCGTGAGCCTAGAGAACATCACCATGAGCAGCGCCGTCAAGGTCCTCACCGGCAACAACCGCCTCCGCATGGTGGTCCGGCGGATGGGCCGTGTGCCGGGCATCAAGTTCTCCAAGGAGAAGACGGCGTGGTGAGCAGGGCGACCCCCATGCCAGCACTCCAAAATCTAACCCCATGGAGGGCATGGTGGGGAGGCTAGGTGGGGCGTGCTGCGGGACAGGGAGGATCCCAGAGCCGGGAGACCCTCGGCGTGGGGGGGCATCAGAGGTCTCTGACAAAGGTGGGGATTGCCCAGGATGGGATAGAAAGGTCTGGAGCAGGCAGGGTGGGTGCAAGCCCCATCCTCAACATCCCCCATCCCCATCACTCTCCTCCGCTGGGTGACACCGATGGCTCCATCCTGCTGGAGGGTGAGAGCTGGACCCCCCTGAGCCCACCCCAAATCTGTGCCCACGCTCCAGGGTGGACGTGGTGAACAGGCGCCTGGTGGTGGAGAAAAGCGGCTCAACGCCGTCGGAGAGCGGCTCCGAGGACGGCCTGCGGCGCATCGTCCACCTCTACACCACCTCCGACGACTACTGCCTGGGCTTCAACATCCGCGGCGGCAGGGAGTTCGGCCTCGGCATCTACGTCTCCAAGTACGGCCAACCCGGGGGGCATGAGGGGGACGCAGCACCCCAATCCCCACTGTGCCAATGCTGGGGCTTGGCACCCCCTTCCTGACTTAGCTCCCCACCCTCATAAGAGTGTGGGCATCACCACTGTGGGTGCTGGGACCTGGGGCCACGCGGGCAGAGGTGTGGGGCAGGAGCAGGGCTTGGCCCCATCCTGCCCCCCCCCCCCTACTGCTTTAGGGTGGACCCCGGGGGGCTGGCAGAGCAGAACGGCATTCGGGTGGGAGACCAAGTCCTTGCAGCCAACGGAGTCAAGTTTGAAGACATAAGCCATAGCAAGGCAGTGGAGGTGCTCAAGGGGCAGACCCACATCATGCTAACCATCAAGGTACCCGCACGCGGCCCCACAGGACTCCCCGGGTGGGGCGGCGGGGGGGGGGTGTCGGCGTATCCCCGCGCTGGCGCTGCCCCAGCTCAGCCTGGCGCCCGTGGGGCTGGTGCAGCTGCCGGCTGGTTGGGTTTCAGGCAGGTGGGAAGGCGGTGGGGGGGGGGTGCGGGGGCCGGGGGGGGGATGCATTATTCATGGCTGGCACCGGATCGGGTTCGCGCAGGGCAGCCGGCGCGCGCTGACCCCCTCGTCCTCTCCCCCTGTGCCTAGGAGACGGGCCGGTTCCCTGCCTACAAGGAGATGGTGGCCGAGTACTGCTGGCTCAGTCGCTGTAAGGGCAGTGCCGTGCGGGTACCGGCAGGGACACCGGGCTGGGGTGCGGGGGGGGGGGGGGGGGGGGGTGCTGCGACCCCCATACAAGCAGAATTTGGCTGCCATGGGGGGGGAGAATGTCCCATGCCATGAGGTACCATGCGGTTAGCATCCCCACAGTCCTCACAGGCTTGTAGGGTCCCACCTGCCCCCCACCCTTGGAGGAGACAGGGAGAGCCCTGTGCCACAGCCAGCAGCCTTGTGGTCCCTGTGATCCTGCGGGATCCTACATGTCCCCATCCTTGGAGGGGACATGAAGATCCCTAACGCAATGGCCAGCGGCCCGCTGGTCCCCCCAATCCTGTGGGACCCCACTTGACCCTTGTAGGGGACGCAGAGCTCCCCATGTGACCACTAGCAGCCCTAAAGTCCCCATGGCCCTACAGGTCCCCACATGTCCCCTGTCCTCAGGGGGGATGCGGAGCTCTCTGTGGCCCCACAGTGTGTCACCCCGTGTCCCCGCTGTGCCTTTGCAGTGACCAATGGGCAGCTGCAGCAGCTATCTCAGGCCTCGGAGACCAGCTCCTCCATCTCCTCCTATTCCTCGGGGCCAGCGCCAGGGGCGGTGAACGGGCTGGGGACGGCCACCCCAGGGTCCCCCACCCGCACTGTGGATGTGGCCATCTCCACGGAGGATGGGCCACGGCGAAGCTGGGCGCGGGAGCGTGCCGAGCGGGCTATGCAGACCGAGCCAGCCGCCGAGGGGCTGCCGGAGATGCGGCGCACGGTGCGGCCCCCCGAGCTGCTGCGGGACACTGCCATCCGGGGCCAGGGCGCCCGCGAGCCCCCTGGCACCCACCCGCGCCGGACCTTCACCCACTCGCCCAAGACGGCGCTGCTGCTGGCGCTGAGCCGGCCCCGGCAGCCCATCACGCGCTCCCAGAGCGACCTCACCGTCGCTGGTAGGCACCAGGGCATGGCCCCACGTGTGGGACTCGCCCCTGGCTGAGGTCCCCCTCCAACCCTGCACCCCCCCCCAGCCCTGGGAGACCCATAGCTCATCCCCTGCCCCACATGGAAACCTGTTCCCTGCTCGAGCATCCTATATCCCCGGAC